AGAAAATCTAGATAAAGGGCTGTTATATGTATAGTTGCTAGAATGATATGGAATATGAAACAAATTGGTACTACGAGTGTTCCGTGCAGGAACCTTGAATCATATCTGTTTGAGTAGATCCGGACAGTCTATATCACCAAACACTAACTTGAAAATGGTACAAAGGTCACAAGAAATTCGATCAGACTTGAGACTAATAATAAATAGGATGTTTCGCATATCTTCATACGTCCATTGATCTCGAGGAATTTGGAGTCTGTACCCACAGTAACGTAAAAATTTATTTTGAACAGATTCAAGCCTGTCTATACGTATTTGATAAATAGGGGTCCAGATTAGAGGTGGGAAACTATCGAATTAAACTATCGATATATCGATAGTTCGTGGCGGAATTAAAAATATCGAACTATCGATAATTTTCTCCAGACTATCGAATACTATCGAATTTTGTATTATTAAATTGGTAACACTGGGCGAATTCTTTTATTCATCGATGGATCCATCTGCTGAAAGCATTATGAAACAGCCATTTCGATTTTCTATGAACTAGACAAAGATAGACAGGTCATCGGTGGAGTCATCGGTGAATAAAAGAAAGCGCTTACTGATTAGGAGTGGTAACAGGACGACAGCTGATGCTAAATTCTGACAGGAGTGACGGAGTGATAGATGGCCGACCAATGAACTATAACCAAAAACTGGAATGCTAACACATAAGGACGAACTTGAAACCTAGTGCGGCTGCTGCGGAGGGGATACCTGTTTTTGTCGCACTCATTATGTTAAATGGCGAAAATTGCTTCCAATACGTATTCCAATTGATGAAACCTGTGAAGGGAAATATGACAAATTTTCGAAAACGTCATATGTCAGCAAGCAACAGAAAAAAACAACATTCCCCTTTGTGGCATCTATCTTTCGTGGCTACATTTTTTTGGCAGATATGGCAATGTGTGCGCATTCCAGTTTTTAGCTATAGTTCATTGACTATAGCGGGCACGTGGCAACTGGCAACGACTACAGCAGGAACCTGTTAGTGTTTGCGCTGCTTTGCCAAATTGTAAGTTTCTTTGAGCTTCTTCTGGAGCATCCAGGGACTTGAGCAGTGTCTTAAGGGTCCAGTGTTCCACGAAGTCGTGCCTTGTTGTTGTTTAGCTTGTAGGACATGCACAGGCAACGTGGTACGAATTTTCCTCAGAGTTGCAACTCTTTATGCATCTTTTCCTCGCTAATGGATTTGATCCCAAGCCATGCAGCTGTTCTTCCGAAGCAACCATAAGTACACCCAGCATCCATATGTGGTGATTGGTAGGCTGGGAGCTCAATGCCATCATTTTCTTTTAGTTTGAGGACGTTCCGACCATAAAAAAAGAACAATCACTCATGAAAGGCCATACCAAATAATTGACCTACGGGCCAGAGAAAGGTTAAAGCGTCACTGGGGTCTCGATGAACTATAAAACCTCTCGACCAGTAATGAAGCATTTCCCGTCTCGGATTGTAATATACTATTATTCCATAATAGGTAATCTACAGTTACATTACCTATTTCATCAGAAAAATCAATCAAAAACTCCTTTTGTCATTTTCAACCTCTTAATTTTAATATCCTTGAATAACTGTACCTCCGTTATCTTAAATTTTTTATGTTAATAATTTTTTGCCAAACAACTTATTTTGGCGAAAAATACAGGGTGTATCAGGTATGAGTACAAATATTTTAACATGAGGTAATATGATATTGGTCATGGGTCAATTGATAGTATTTTCGGAGTTATCGCGGAATTTAAATTTAGAAAAATGTTAACAACGTGACAACATTGTACAGGTATTATTTCTGCCGGGATATAAAATGTAAATAAAACTGGTAAATTTGAAAGATTTTTTTTTTTTGCACGGAGTTTATTTATTCCCATGTGTTTACGTTTTGGTTTATTCAGTTTATTGGTTATTGGCTTTCAAATAATGTGAATAATAACTTGCATTTTTATCACTTTTCTAGTAAAAATAAAAAATGTGCCGTTTTATTAAGTTGTGAATTGCACTCAATGACATTTTTGCACTAAGCATTCAAGAGAAAAATCAAATAATACTTACTCAGCTACTTACCAAATCCTAATTATGAAAATATTAATTTTTGTTAAAAGGTTATCAAAACACTAAAATAACACGCAGATTTTGCACACTCACACTTCCTGTATCACGCAATTTTTGTAAAACGGGCACAATGTTCTTTTATCAGGTGGGCGCTTTTCTTTTGGAAAATTTTTCCCTAGTTTCCCTGTAGATTCTGGCGGCTAAATGAGCATTTTGCAACGATTCTGTCTAAACAAGTACCTGCATATTCGATGTTTGTAAGCATTTTATTTTCAAAAAAGAATAAATTTGAATTACGCGCGTTTCCCAACTAAACAAGACAAATCAAGAATCAATAGACCTATCTATTTTTACCTGTATGCGCGCGCAACACGAGGCAATGCATTTTTATTGGCTAACTAGTACAGGTGTGAAGTAATCCTTTTGCACGCTAGGCATCTCCTTGTCCTTGTTCATTGCCCGTGGTCTGACAAGGATAAAATTATGCTTGATATTCAACTTGACGTAGCTTCACAAGTGATCAATTTTCAATTGTTTGTGTTTCTGATTGACAAATACGATGCACGATGCACGTCACGCGGTTTTCCTCCTTCCTTTTTTATCCCGTGCAAATAATAAGAACGGATTGCTATACGTAAGTCTAACATAATTTGGTAAGTTTTGCCTCGTCTTGCGCAATGAACGTTCTGTGTCTTTTTTTATTTAATGAAGTTTTCGTATTATTACCTCTTTGTCTGGTAAAATAGAGAGGTCTATTGTTGTTTGGACGCCATATTGCGGTGCGCGAACATAGTTGCCAAAAGAAGAAAACAAAAATTACTAGCGGGCTGTCTACATTAAAAACAAAAGTAACTAAATGATTGATCCTCGCTATCTTTTTTGTTTGTTTACTTTCTCTCTCTGGTTGATGAAAGACAATGAAAGTAAATAGGTGAACTTTGTTTCATGAGGGTTCATACTTTTGACAAAATTTGTCTTCTTTTTTTAACAAATAGAAATTGACTGAAACAAATCAATGACGTCAAAAACGTTCGTCGGTTCTAAAGCCAGAAGTCATTCATTTCAATTTGACAAAAAAATTGAATGTGTTATATGATTTATGGCCATTTCCACTAACTATTTTAGGGGAGCCCTAACGATAGGTATGCCTTAAACTGAAACTTCTTCATGTAAAAATGTCATTTTAGGGAATACTTATCGTTAGGGCTCTCCTAAAATAGTTGGTGGAAACGGCCATTAATCTACGATAACCCGTTTTTTTCAAGTTATGATGTGTTCGATAACACAAGTATGAACCCTCGAGAAACGAACCTTAGATATTTTATGTATCAAGGCTTTATTTGAAATCGATGCTACTTTGCATACACGCAAACGACGTCATTTGCGGCGTAATTGTCAACCTAATGTTTAGAATGGTACATTATGCCCGCGCGGGCCAGAATGTGTACTTTATGCACGCACGGGCATAAAGTGATGAATTATTTAGATGGTATCTAAGGTATAAAAAGACAATAATGTACTGGTATGACATAAATAACTATTATTATTTCTATTCTGCCCAATACAAGCTAAAATTGATGACATTTCTTTTCAAAAACATTCGTAATAGGCGGCAAATTTAAATTTTAAATGTAATTTATTCAGTAACTTTTGTTTTTAATGTTGACAGTACGCTAGTAATATTTTTTTCTACTTTTGGCAACTATGTTCGCGCACCGCAATATGGCGTCCAAACAAAAGGTCAATTTATTTAGTTCAACCTACAACCACCTATTCTTTATTGTGCTATGTTGCCAGATGTTTAGATACCGATTTCGAGTGAAATTTTTATATTGTTTTTTTCAATTTTTTGTTATTGTTGTTGACTAAAAATGCATATAATTACTTGATAATGGAATAAACTACATTTTTTTAAATCTCATAATGATTAAAATTTTCTTCATCTTTAAAATATTCGTCAAAAAATGTCAAAACTTCAAAGGCCTTTTTCTTAAAAATTGTTGAGTTTGGACCCCATGTTGTATAAACTTTTTTTTGTTCAAAATTGACCATATTTTCACGTGTTAAAATTTTTGTAGTCAAACCTGATACACCCATGTCACTATTCCAGTTTAGCAGGTGTAATATTAGGGTGCAGAGCAAAGAGCAATGACAAGGCTTATTTCTTACTATTTTTAAAAAAATTACTTAAAATGTTCAACTTAGTGTGCAAAATTGGCAGCCGATTTGAAATTTTGGAGAACGGTGGAAAGCATTGCTGACCAGGAGGATTTATTGGACCAGTTGTCCATATGATGTGAAGGAAATTAGTTGTCCCTGAATGTGGCTAAATGCTGCTTTATTATTTTTTCGCGTATAAACGGTCAGGCTATTAAATGTGTTTCTTCTGTCAAGGATTTGGTGGCAGCACTGAACGAAGAGTTAGCATTTATTAGACGCATTAATTCTCTCTCTCTCTTTGCTTGAAAATGTTCGGTTTTGTCTCCAGAAATTTTCAATTTTTCTCTGTGTAGGGTAACAGGACGGTGTACTACAGTTCCTTGGTGAGATCCACTATAGAGTATCTACCTATTTCTCTGTGGTTTAGTCATTTTATTTTCAAATCTATATGGATTCGTTGGAGAGAGTACAAAACAGGTTTCTGAGGTTGTGTGCTTTTAAAAATGTTAATGTGATTATAGGGCATAATTAGAGATTTTTTTATAGAACATTAGTACCTAGTCACTTTCGTAGAGATAGCTTTGGCATAACATTTGTATAAGAGATACTCAAGATAGTAGGTACATGCGGGTTGGTTTCTCTTGGATTTAATTTGCCATTGAGGAGGCTACGACAATGCATCCACTTTCCTCATTCCATTTCACACAGCCGCACAGTGTGAATAGTCCTAATAAAACACTAACTTTAATAATAAATTTAATTTTATTATTATCAAAAAAATTACAATTATAAGGTAAAAATTAACATAACTTGCATTAGTTTGTCCGTTTTTTAGGCCACTGAGAGAAATATTAATTTGTTTGAAAGCCACAGAGTTCACAATCTAGAGAAAATGTACTGAAAATAATTGTTACGCTATATTTAGGATAACGTCACATTTAGTAAATGTCTGCTGCCAACCTAAGAAAACTAAAAAGTACTTTTTAACACATTTGAAGTAGGGGAATTTCAGTTGTTTTTGGTTGGCAACGGCGTGCGACGTTGCATGACTTGTATAAGCATTTTCATTTCATTATTTCTAGCTGTCGTCAGAATTATTGACACATGTCATTCTGGTAAATTATAAGAAAAAAAATAGGTACTGACAACATTGTCTCTCCTTGTTCGATGACGTCATCCTAAATATAACATAAAAAACCTATAGTTTTAAAACAAAAATGTTTTTTCAAAATTTTAAAAAAGATGCTTTGCCCCATAATAGGTAATTATTATTTTTGATTATTTAAAGCACATTTTTCTTTGTTTGTAGAAAAGAAGGAAGGCGAGCGGTAGTAAAAATGTTAAAAATGAAATACTTAATTGTCTTTTGTTAAATTTGCGCATTAAATAGATAACTATTTACAATAGTTTATTTTTCAAAAATATTTAAATTTTAGTAAATTCACATCCGACAACAATTATTATTATTATCTACTAATAAAGACCTTTAACAATTCATATATTTAGTAAAAACATTTTAAACAGGGAATAAGAATTGTTTAAAAGCAATAAAGAAGTTATCTATTGTACTTTAACGTCTCTGATTTTAGAGATTTCTGAATTTTTTAACATTAAAATACAATTTATAAAATGTTTATGGAAAGTAATTTTGTCGTAAGTTATAATTTAGAAGAGTAAATTGATTATAATCCGTCAATAATAGATACTAATACCCAATCAATATAAATATAATATACGTTACAATAAGTTAAAATGTAAATTCCTACTTTCATCACATAATGTTAAACATAATGAATGGCATTTATTAATTAATATTAAAATAAGTATTTTTTTCTTTGGCTTCTCTATGTAAAAAGGAATGTATTTTAGCTGTCTTAAATTGAAACATTTTATGCTTTTGTTCAAATACCTACACACGAAAAATATTTGAGCGCCTAATTCGATTTCAACGTAGCAGAGATTTACAGAAAAATCTATTTTCATTATAATATCATCTGAAACCTTTAGAAGAGGATATTCTTAGTTAGGCTACTATATTTTTATCCCGGCTTAGAAAATAAACGTCTGAAAGGCTTGTTCAAGAGATTCAGGGACAATAGTGAAATTTGTACCCGTATAATTTTCGATGATTTAAGTTAACCAGCTAGAGAAACAGTATTGTGTTTTTTTTAAATACTAAAGTGAAGATAATAATCCTCTTCTAAAAGCATTAACTAAAATAACAATCAACCAACATACTGAAATACTTAATTTTTGTCTAATGATCATAAGCGCACGTCTCGTTGATGATCGTCTTCAGTTTCTTCGGCATGCTGTTTTAACAACGGACTACCGTCTGTAATCTTGGTTTTGCTGCCCTTTTGACTACCCCTTCCCGTGGGAAACGGTGGCGCCAGAGCTCCGCAGGGTGTGCAAGGCGCCGAACGGGAGAGCCAGCTTTTAGAAAAGACTAAAACAAAAAAAGTTTTTACAAATTAGAGTTCGAAAATAGTACATAGTACTTAAATAAGCATATCATTAAAAAGGCTATAGTTTTTTTCAAGTGCATTTATATTGTTTTTTATTCGTCATTGAATAAGCCAGCGATAAAGGTCAAAATCTAATCTAACAATTATTATACGGACCCCCCCTCTATAGTCATCAGTTATCTTTACCGGCAGCGATCCGAATGAACTAAATTACGCAACCGGAAGAGTCACGAGTCACAAGATTTCTTGATCTTTTATATAAATTCATAAATCTAAATACCTAACGACATTAATTACAAGGCTAACTTGTTTAATTGTGTACACGCGCCGTCGGCATTTGAATAACGGAAACGAAAACGAAAATTCTTGCGGCATTATTCCGATAAATACTAAATTAGAACACGCAGGTGGAGGGGTCATTGCAAATATTTATGGTAGGATCGAATACCATTTAAACAGATTATAATGAGAGGAAGAGGCAATTAAGAATAATAAAATACACTTCCATTCAGAACTAAAGAATAGTAGAAATTGATAGTGATTTGACTCTCCTCCAAAAAGTTATTTTCTTTATTTTCTACCTCGAGACCAAATTAAATTCGCGATTTAATTGACTATATTACAAGTTGGGAAGTTAGAAGTAAATTCAAATCTTTTAGTCGATTTTATGCGTGCTAAGAAATTAAAACAAAAATACTCTCATAGAGCCAGTGTAGTGAATTTAATGACAATTATTATTATAGTAAGTAGAAGTACATATAAGATAAGAAGACTTTTATTTGAAATTAATTGCAATAACTATGAATGTGAAATGACTATGGAACATTATTGCAAAAATTTAATTGACTTTGAGTGAAAATAATGGTGACCTGGAATTTGAAAAATAATGTTGTTCTGGTTTAAGTATATGATCCTTAGTAAAAGATCATTAGAAGTAGTGAAAAGTTTTAATTAAAATGTTTTGTACTTGAAGTAAGATGTATGTCTACATTGCTGAATTTTGATTAAAAGTTTAATCAATCAGAATTATTGTAAGGATTTTAATTTAAATAATGTTTGTAATAATAATTAATCTGACTAGGTTCATGATTATTAATAACAGTTTTGTATAAGTTTGTCAGTAAATGACTTCAGGGGTTTTTAAAATTTATAATTAAAGGTAATGGTAATTTTATTTAAAATAATATGTATCGAATCCATTTAGGATTGTGATTGTGTGGAAGAGTGAATGATTTGATTACAAGATATTGAGAGCATCGAAGTAGGGCTTCATAAAAAGCATAATTCTAGTTCCGAAAAATGAAAGAAGAATCTTGTAGGATGTTGAAGATTGAAAAGTATTGCAGTCAATTAAATTAACAAACATAGAGGTGGCTGTAAGAATTTGGGAAAATATTAGTTTTATTACTCTGTACTGGCAAATTCGGATTTGATAATTTAAGTCAAATAATAGTTATTTATTATACAAGACGGTAAAAAGATGCTTTACCTGTGAGTGGAAAATGTTGATTCACGAGCGACGAAGAAGCGAGTGGATTAATTCCACGAACAGGTAAAGCTTTTTTACCATCGTGTGTAATATTCAATTTTATTCTCGAGCAACTTTTTATTTATCACAATTACTAAAATCATAAACTAAAATGTGCTTAAATTTAACATAGATTATGACAAGTTGACAAAGTACCTAACAAACTGACACATTTCTGGTGTTGTCAATCATACAACATAACAGATTTCTGTCAAAAACACTACAATTATTATAAAAGATTTGAACAAGTGGGTAAAATTGACGTATGCATGGGTAAAATTGACGTATGAGTGGGTAAAATTGACAAATGAGTGGGTAAAAATTGTTCGATTTCACTACTTCAAATAAAGTGTTACTTTAACAATGAGTTTTGAGTCGATTAAATGATAGTTCACCATTCACGATAGAATAAAGTATATTTAATTGTGTAAACCTTATAGTTCAGGAGGTGGCGCCAAAAACATGCAAGAGTTTTCGCAAGGCAGATATTTTCAAAATAGGTCGTACTTTAGTGCTAGAATGCTAGTGTACAGTCAGCACTCACAGTTCCGGGACAGCTGGCTCTGGGACGCGGGCAAAGTTGTAATTTTAAGAAGCATCTAAACTGTTTTCTCAAAGCTCAAAATTTATAGAAATTTTGCACATTATCTGTTTGAAGGTCATAGATAACGTATGTAAATCGTCAGACGTCTAGTTCGTTGCAAAAAGGGGGTCAGACGTCCTCAAAGTTTTTATTTTATGGCATTTTCTTCAAATATATTTGTCAAATACCTGCAAAAATATATTTTGACAGGACACCGAAGAAAATGCCATAAAATAAAAACTTTGAGGACGTCGGACCCCCTTTTTGCAACGAACTAAACGTCTGACGATTTACATACGTTATCTGTGACCTTCAAACAGATAATCTGCAAAATTTCTATAAATTTTGAGCTTTGAGAAAACAGTTTAGATGCTTCTTAAAATTACAACTTTGCCCGCGTCCCAGAGCCAGCTGTCCCGGAACTGTGAGTGCTGACTGTACACTAGCATTCTAACACTAAAGTACGACCTATTTTGAAAATATCGGCCTTGCAAAAACTCTTGCATGTTTTTGACGCCAGCTCCCCAACTATTAATACAGTTGTTTCTCTCATTTGCGAATAGACCCCCTCCACAGTTTTATTAGTAGCCGCCCAAGGAAATAAACTAATAAACACCATCGATAAAACCGCTCGCCATTTACCATCTAACTAATTACAAGGGAGTACTTGAGCGCGTTTTGCTACAAGCCCAATTACAAGAAAATCAATATTAATTGCAAGATAAAAATAAGAAAAACCTAACTAATACTAAATTAAAAACGAAATTAGGAAGAAAAGCAAAAAAGATCTAAAAAAAAATTGCCTCTGCAGTAGAGTTAGCTATGTGTTCTCACCAACTCTTCAACAATTAAACTAATAGGGCTGTTAAAAATATCGCAGATATCACAGATCCCGTTAAAATTACCTATAACTCATCATGTATAATGGTGACCGGAATTCCGGAATAACACATTTTTCCGGGGAGTATCGAGATAGAAGGTTAGTGAGCGTCTGGCATATAAATGAGGTACCAGAATGCTAATATTAGACAAAAGGAAAGGACTATCTACATACTATAAGGAGCATTATTGGGGTTTGTATTTGTATTAGTTGAATCAACATAGACACTGACAGAAATAACGCGAATGAATTAACATTATCCTGAGGGCTTTCAAAAATGCCTGAAATTCTATATTCGCCCCTTTTACTAGATATAAAAGCCCAAAAGTTGGATGGATCAATATTGATATTACGTTCCGAATTAAGTAAAAAAGTCTTGTAGCCATACCGTATCTGACCCTTAACCCGCAGCTTCAACGCTTAATATTTTTCAGGATAAAAAGAAGTTTTGTATTTTTTGAAATCCTCAAGAGCTTTCTCTTTTTTAGGTATGTTACTTATTAATTCCCGAGTATAATAATTTGGGATTCTCCTATGACGTTAAACTTTTTGTGGAGCACAAATGTCGAAGATGTTATCAAGAATAAGATAGAGCTTCTTACAGGCAGATTTGACGTTACCTGAATTAAGTACTGGAGTTGTATGGTAAATGAAAATTGGCCTTCCTGAAATTATATTCCCTTGACAGATTGCTGCTTATTTTGAAATTTGTAATTTGTTTAGAAATAATGCTTAGGTACTTCTATTTCGAGAAGAGGGAGAAATATCTTATTTAACAAGTGGCATGTCATTTTTAAATACAGAACAATCAAAATTAGCAAGTACTATATAGATCCAACAATCTGTTATTTACATTTAGAACTTGATTAAAGTGAACCATACTAAACATTTCAATAAAGCAGGTACATTAAAATAACCATATTAAAACATTACGTGAGAATTTTGGAATAATTTTCCTTGCTATTCCATCCACAAACGCGTTTCGACCTATCAGGTCTCGTCAATGTGGCTAGGAAAGCAAAGAAAACCAATCCAAGCTTAGTGCCTGTAGTAGAAGTAGTATTATCCTAATAGGAGAAAACTTGTTTTCCCTATTTTGGGTTTTCCGAACTAACTGATTTTTGGTCGGCCTATTAGATGCCTTAGATGAGGTCTGTTTGTTATTTACGTGTAGGATAGGTCAATGCAGACTGCTGGTGCAGCTACGTGTAGCTGATGGGCAACAGGTTCGGAGAAAACTACCCAACGCGTTAGTACAGTTCGTGCAGCGATAGGAGCGGATAATTCTCTAACCTCACAAAATTATTATTTAAGTAGATTAAAGTGGAAACTAACCAAGAAAAAACTGTGTAATATTTAGGAAAAGAACAAAATTCACAAGGTTTTATTGTCGGAAATTATAAAGGAAGATGGAAATTCCCCATCTTCCAACCCTGAAGACAGCTTCTTTGAAGTAGTTTTTAAATACTATTGCCCCCTTCCCATTCTGCGCTTGTTACACCTCCTCTTGAGCAGGTGTACACTGAGAAAAGTCCCAGGAGAAAATTCTTTGCTGGTTTTTTTTTAGCTGTTACAGTGGAAAATGTTTTAGAGGTAGCAATGTTATTTTGCTTCTACAGAAAAGACCACTTTGCTGAAACTACTTTATTGAAACTGCAAAATTAAAATTTTATGAAAATATTTCTGCTTCTCCGAAATAGAACTTTTCTAAGATAGATAGATACTTTACTGTTGCAGCAAAAAAAAAATCCTGTAATTTTTGTTATTGTTACAGTAATGTTTTTTGCTACCCTAGCCAAATAACTTAACTAAAAATACCATTCGGACATTTCCGTGATTTCTTCGGGTCCAAAAATAACCGATAAAATATGTTTCGTGTTCATTTTCTTCCATTTTAGTTTAGTAGCTAACGCCGTACGGTGTGGATCGTGGATGCTGTCGAGTCAAGTCGAGTGTCGGTCGCTGGGAATCTTTTTGGAAATGGTGCCAG